AAAAAAATCGGCCGATTTTCTACCCGTCTAGCAAAAAGTGTCCCTGCAGAGAGCTCTGCTATTTCTTTGACAGTTCTCTGACAGTTCCTTGACATTTATAGAAGTTGCAACAATGTATCTATTTGTTTCCATTTAGGATACAGATGTTTTTATTCAGAAACAAATAGATACAATGTTTCAAACCGCTGTAAATGTCAAGGAACTGTCAGAGAACTGTCAGAAATAGCGGAGCTCTCTGCAGAGACACTTTATGCTGGACTGGAATTCTTCTTATTTTCATCCTACTTCTTCTTCTTCTTCTTCTTCTCATCCTCATCCTCATCCTCTTCTTCTTCTTCTTCTTCTTCTTCTTCATCCTCATCCTCTTCTTCTTCTTCATCCTCATCCTCTTCTTCTTCTTCTTCATCCTCATCCTCTTCTTCTTCTTCTTCTTCTTCATCCTCATCCTCTTCTTCTTCTTCATCCTCATCCTCTTCTTCTTCCTCATCCTCTTCTTCTTCCTCATCCTCATACTCTTCTTCTTCATCATCATCCTCATCCTCTTCTTCATCATCATCCTCATCCTCTTCTTCTTCATCATCCTCCTCTTCTTCTTCTTCTTCATCCTCATCCTCTTCTTCATCCTCATCCTCTTCTTCTTCATCATCATCATCCTCATCCTCTTCTTCTTCTTCTTCTTCTTCTTCATCCTCTTCTTCATCTTCTTCTTCTTCTTCCTCATCCTCATCCTTTCTTCTTCCTCATCCTCTTCTTCTTCCTCATCCTCATACTCTTCTTCTTCATCATCATCCTCATCCTCTTCTTCATCATCATCCTCATCCTCTTCTTCTTCATCCTCCTCCTCTTCTTCTTCTTCTTCTTCATCCTCATCCTCTTCTTCATCCTCATCCTCTTCTTCTTCATCATCATCATCCTCATCCTCTTCTTCTTCTTCATCCTCTTCTTCATCTTCTTCTTCTTCATCCTCATCCTCTTCTTCTTCCTCATCCTCTTCTTCTTCCTCATCCTCATACTCTTCTTCTTCATCATCCTCATCCTCTTCTTCATCATCATCCTCATCCTCTTCTTCTTCATCATCCTCATCCTCCTCCTCTTCTTCTTCATCCTCATCCTCTTCTTCATCCTCATCCTCTTCTTCTTCATCATCATCCTTATCCTCTTCTCCATCCTCATCCTCTTCTTCTTCATCATCATCCTCATCCTCTTCTTCTTCATCCTCTTCTTCTTCTTCATCCTCTTCTTCATCGTCTTCCTCTTCTTCTTTTTCTTCTTTTTGTCTTCCTCTTGCAGGTCACTGCTCATGCGCAGATTTTTTATTGGTAAAAAATCGGCCGATTTGCCCACTAATTGCCGCGAAAATCGGCCGATCGGCAAAATCGGCCGATTTTTTTCCAACTTTACCGAAAAAACAAAAACGGCCAAAATACCGAAAAACGGCCGACCAAATCGCCCACTAACGATCCGAAAATCGGCCGATTTTATTTCCGGCCGAAAAATCGGCCGATTTTCGACCCGTCCTGCATGGCCTGCATTAGATGCACTAGCAAATTTATATGGACTTGACTAACAAATTAAGTGCTGATTCACACATGTGCGGTGGGGATTGAAGCTCAGGTTTCACAGCTAATTGACACAGTAACTGTAAATAGTGAAGCGCTATAAATCCTATCTATTAAATACAGATAAATATTATATATTACTAGCCGTGCACACACAATAGTGCTCAGTGACAAATAATTACAAACAAATAAATATCTCTTTCTACATGTATAAGTGAAACATGACCTTGAATATGTGACAAACTACAGATAATTGTGAAGTGATTCTTTAAACCTCCCTGGCGGTATGATTCTTTCCGATTTTTTGTGCTGAAAGCGGTACCATTTTTTCGCATGGAAATAGTTTTTTATTGTAGGCTGTAATTTTTAGGAACATTTCCCCACAAATCATTATCACTCAATTCTGCAAGTGGTTCTGATTTACTATCGCTGTTCTCTAGCCGGTCTAAAACCGCTTTTGACGTAAAGGGACGCTTTTTGGACGCCATGGACGTTTCTCAGTTTCCAGGCAGAAAGAACGGTAAAAATGCAGGCAGGGCACAGGACAAAGCACTAGGGACAATATGTATGTGAAATGGGATGAAACAGCAATGTTTTACTATTTAAAATAAAAAAAAAAAAAAATGACATTTTTTAAATTTTTTAAATTTCCCGCCGCCGGCGGCGCCCGTACGTCCCGACGTCACGGGAACCGGAACACAGAAGCTGGATGCCGGCATCGGCCAGAGGAGATGGCCGGGGACGCTGCAGGGGACACATCATGGGAGCGAAGGACAAGGTAAGTGCTGCAGGGACTCCCTATGCAGCGCCGCATGGTAAGCCCGAGTCTAGCTCGGGGTTACCGCTTTTGGTATAGACATTTTACCCCGAGCTAGACTCGGGAATACCGCTAGGGAGGTTAAGAAGAAAAAATTCCAGTGCTATTTATCATTATCTCTAAAAACACACTGTGTATAAACAAACGTCAAACCAATCAAATGATATATTTGCTAATTGAAAACATAAAGTCCATGCAAGTGAATCTGTGCTGATGTGATCTTCACTCCAGTGAAAAATGAACAGAAATGCTCAAATGGCAGCAATGCCTGCTCACCTCCACACATTGACCCACACAGGGCCACAGGGCTATAATAAACAGTAACAAATCCACTCCACTCCTCATCACAGGGACCATGGGATAGGAAAAAGACCTCTGCTCAGCGCACCTTATTCACTCCTCCTCCACTCAAGGTAACATATATAGGGCATAAAGCAAGAAACCTTCCATGGTGCAGTGTCTTTTTATTTAAATTGCAGATAAAAGTTGGTACAGCACTCTCATGTATCCCCAGTAACAATCGCCTTTCACCACATACTATGGGTGTACTGCATGGTATACTGGGTGTAGCAAGATGGCCGCTGCCGGAGTGCGTCACCACGTACCGGAAATGATGTACCGACGCGTTGCGTCACGTGACTCGTGACACAGTAGTTGTTCAGCTGTTCGGGTCAGGTTTACATCAGGTTCAGGTTAGGATTTTATCCTGTTCACAACCTATGACATATGCAGTTTAGAAACAGTTCCCATAGAAATCAACAGCCTGTAATCTGCACCTGAACGGGACCACACTGCTCAGAAATCAGACAACACTCTTTTTCAGTCTGCACTGAATCAGCACCGGGGCAGTACACTGGACATATGTGAACAGGCATCATAGGAAGCATACATGTCATGCGGATTGGATGCAGTTCAAACTGCATCCAATCCGCATATAAGTGAACTGGTACTAAAGCTGAACTCCAGCTAAACATCCCCATCAGAATTCCCCCCTTTCACATCAATAGCCCCCCCCCCCCCCATCACATTAGTGTTCTTCTTTCACATCAGATCTCTATTTCATATCAGAAGTCCCCCCATCACACCAGAGTCCCTTCTTTCACATCAAAAGTCCCCCCAACACATCTAAAGCCCCCTTTCACATCAGAGTATCCTCTTTCACATCAGCAGTCCCCCCCATCACATCAAAAGTCCCCCCATCGCATCAAAACCACTCCCATCATATTAGATTTGCTGTGGGTCAAATTAAATCTTGTCATAGGTCAGATGTGGCTCCCAAGCTGTAGTTTGGAGATCCCCATGTTAAAGAAAGTTAAAAAATAACAGACTTACTGGATGGATCACCTGCTCAAAATTAAGAAAAAAAAAAAAAAAAAAAAAAACAAATGCAGCCATCACATCTAGGAATTGGTTGTCTGCAATATATTACATTTTTGGTTTTCTGCTAATACTGCATTAACCTCATGCCTAGTGGCAGTGGAGCATGTACAGAGAATTATGTATCAGTTTAATGCAGCAATGCCATGTGCTGGGTTATTCATTATGTACTCCAGTAACATGATAACATCTGTAGCAAATTTGTTTGATGTAGCAAAGTGTTTGATGTATCTGATAGCAGGCTTTTAGGATGACAAGGAAAAACTGCAGTGCAGACCTTGTGGTTTAAATGATAGTTAAAAATGGAAGAAGATTGGCATAAGAATGGAAACAAATGTTACCTGTGCCTAGAAGTATTTCATGGATTGGGTTACTGTTCCTCTCTGATGTTCACCAGAAAATTGATCTGAGACAGAACATAAGACAGAGGTTGTCCACGTCAGAGTCATAACAGCTCTCAAGGGAAAGGGGTCTGTACTAAAAAACAAAATGCATATGAAGAACTAAGAACGCCTACAAATACTAAACTAGATACCATATACCAGCAGATCTGGCTCTGGGCCTTTTTTTTGGAATGATCCTTTGTTAATAGATGCAGTTGTTAGTATTAAGAATTGCCATGCCAATATGATCACAAATCAGATATTATTACTAATTAACTACATAAAATGTTTTTGTCCATACCTGAACTATTTCTTGGCTTGAAAAGCATTTCCTGGCAGAAAATGGAGTTTATGCAATACCTACTGTGCTGGCAGTTCACCAAATCTGGCTCTGTCATCTGTGTATTGGGTTACTATATTTGTGATACTCTGGCTTTTGTTTTTACTTTTTAATTAAATATAATAAAAACAAGAAAGAAATTGATTAATATACATTTGGAGGACTTAAATGTGTTACTAAACCCAGGACCCTGCATTCACTCTATCTGGTCTCCCACAGTACCTAAAACATGGAAATTATTATTATTATTATACAGTATTTATATAGCGTCAGAAAGGTTTGCTCAGCGCTGTACATTATAGTGGGGGACAGAACATGAGACAATACAGTAACAAAACAATACACAAGGGGTTCGAGGGCCCTGCTCTTTTGAGCTTACAATCTAGGAGATGCAATTATTTTAGTAAATATAAAATACTAAATACCTTTTCTCATCAGCAGTTGAAGAAGCCTTGTGACTTCTATCAGTGTATAGCAGAGCACTGGTTAAAGTTTGTAGGAGAAGTGTTCTTTCTGCTCTAGGAGGATGCAGAACCCCTGACCTCTGTCTGGACAGTGCTGATTGGCCCTGTGCTGATCACATGAACTCTCCAAGAAAAAAAAAACCTTTCTAGCAATACACACCAAACTGAATATGTGTAAGAAATGATATGTCTTATCAGGAGATAAGAGTGGGCACTGGAAGAAGAGGAGGATCAGAGAAACAAAAACCTCTCTAGCAATACACACCAAACTAAATATATGTAAGAAATGATATGTCTTATCAGGAGATAAGAGTGGGCACTGGAAGAAGAGGAGGATCAGAGAAGTCTGATTTTACTGCTGTGGGTTTAGTAGCACTTTAACAGTTCAATCCTGAAGTCCACACAAAGGTTCCCATTATACAAACTCAGTGAAGAGTAATGGGGCATTCTGACATAGGGGGCATTCTGACATAATTAAAGTGGATTGAGCACAATAAAAAAATATGTATATGGGCGCTCTGTGAATGGTCCTGCAGCCTCCTGAGACATGTCCCAGGAGGCTATAGAAGGGGAAGGCATGGGTCAGTTGGCATCCAAGTAACTATAAGAGATGCACATTAATGCAGCTTTGGAATCAAATATACTGTATATCTTTAAAAGCAGGTATTATTACTACCTTAAAGTGTTACTAAACCCAGGACCCTGCATTCACTATATCTGGCCTCCCACAGTACACACAACATGGAAGTGCAATTATTTTAGTAAATATAAACTGCTAAATACCTTTTCTCATCAGCAGTTAGAGCAGTCTTGTGACTTCTATCAGTGCTCAGCAAAGCACTGGTTATAGCTTGTAGGAGGAGTTTTCATTCTTCTGTAGGAGGATGCAGGACCCCTGAGCTCTGTCTAGAGAGTGCCGATTGGACCTGTGCTGATCACATGCACTCTCCCTAGAAACAAAAAACCTCTCTTGCAATACACACCAAATTGAGCATGTGCATCTTGCTCCCGAGCCTCTTTTCTATCAGGAGATATTTAGGGGACACTGGTAGAAGGGGAGGATCAGATAAGAGAGGATCAAACATCCTTTTTACACAATGTGGAGGATGAACCCCTTAGGTTCCACAGTCAGTATATCAAGCATGCTTTACTGCATATACAGACTGATTTTACTGTTGTGGGTTTAGTAACACTTTAGTTTGACTTGGTATCAGCTTTTTCAGTTGATTTACATCAGAGCTCAGAAAGGAGTAAGAAGGAAGAGTAGCACAAGGTGCAAATCTGAAATCTGTTCTGTTGCAGCATAATGAGCATTCTAAAAGGATGAGGAGGAAGCAGAACTTTTAACCATGCTGCTTCTTTTTTTTTTTTTTACTCTCCAGTCACAGGTTAGGGATGGGGACCTGCATGTGAAAGTGAAACTGCAGCAGAGAGTGTCTGGATAGGCACAACTACAAACCTCTTTGGCTATATATATAAAACAGTATATATTCTATGTGTGCATTTAGCTGTTTGCCTGAAGTTCACTTTAAAGCATTGTTGTTTTCCACACTTTGAATTACAGTGCTGGACAATAGGATGATTTTCTGAGGTCACATCCTTCACAAATGAATCATCAAAACCCTTCTGCATGTTTAGTCGTATTCTATTGCACTACTCCCAAAACAAAGTTGCAATACATAAGATTGGAGTTAAAAGATTATAAATGTAAAAAGCAGTTAAAAGGGTTAATTCGCCTTTGCAAAAAAAAAAAAAATCTTATGCACATAAGAGGGACAGTAGATAAAAATAAACCATACTGCTATGAGTAGCCGCTCTCTCTGCTCTCTCTTTCCTCACTGGCTCAGAGACAGCAGCTAGAGCTGTCAATCACCACCTGTGAGAGAGTAGGGGGTGGGACTGAGCTGTGCTCTGTGTGTCAGTGGACACACAGAGCACAGCTCCGGAGCGAGTCTGCACAAGTGCCCTGATAGTGAGCGACTTGCTTCAAGGACACTCGGCAGTAGGGGTGAGCCAGGAGTGCTGGCAGGGGTCTGAGTAAGGAGCATCGGGGGCTGCTCTTTTCAAAACCATTGCACAGAGCAGGTATGTATGACATGTTTGTTATTTTAATAAAATGAAAATTCAAGCTTTACAATCACTTGAACTGCATAGGAATTTTATTTTTTTATTTTTTTTATCAAAGGTGAACTAACAGCTACAAACTACATTGTCAGTGCTTGTTAACATATAACATGTATTTTTTTTAATAATACCAGAGTATTTTCTTCATGATTCATTTTTTGGAGCCCAGAGGTCACACGGATTCATCCAAAGTACTGCATTTGTACATAGTATTAGAATGATTTCCTTCTATAGTTTTGTGGACTTTACATACATTTGTGAACAACGTCATAATATAATTGATGCCATTAAAAAGACCTAAAGCAAATCCCATCCCAAGAGTTTAGTAATTTAGTTTATATCCACGTTGTTTCCACACTGGATTATTTTCCAATCTATCAGTTTCTGTAATGCAGAATTGCAGTCTGATTTAATATAAACGATAGACTGCCTTGGCGATATGCAGAAAGAGTTGGCAGGCTATAAAAATACTTTTTTACATCACTGAAAGGCGTCCACTCCAATCACCAGCCACACCTTAGCTGTTCTTCTGAAATGATTCCCTTGGCTCTCCCTAAACTCCACCATTTACCTCCTTTACCGACAGAGGAACGTGACAGCAATAAAAAATGCAAGTTGATCCCTGTGGTGTTTCTGCCAGAAGTACCGTGTGTCACTTTAATGTTGCTGCCAATGTGTTCTTTATCCAAAAATCCATTTTTTTTGGTATGTCTCCATTTTGGATAGTTATTATGGATACAAATTTTTGTACAAAAAGCAACTCCAGGCAACAAGTTACAGTGATTGTAAAGGCTCAAGTTTTTTTTACCTTTATGCATTCTAAAAAACCTCCACCCAGCCCTCCCTAATACTTACCTGAGCCCCCTCTTGATCCAGCGATGTGCATGAGAGCAGCAGCTTTCCCGGGACTCTCCCTCCTCATTGGTTGAGACAGCAGCGGGAGCCATTGGCTCCTGCTACTGTCAATCACAGCCAGTAAGCTAATGAGAAGAGGAGCAGGTTGAATTGAGCCATGCTCTGTGTGTGAATGTAAACACAGAGCAGTGGCTCGGGAGAGAGCCTGCTTGGGTTCCCCATAGCAAGCTACTTGTTCTGGGGGCACTCAGCAGGAGGGAGGGGCCAGGAGCCTCGGCAATGGAGTCAAGAAGAGGAGGATCAGGGGCTGCTCTGTGCAAAACCATTACACAGAGCAGGTAAGTATGACATGTTTGTTATTCTAAAAATGCCTTTAACATCACTTTGTCAATTGGTGAATTGCAAACGCTGTCTAGGAACACCCAATATTTCAAGAATGCTATAACCAAAAAGTCCACTAAGTGGCCATTAATCCCAGTTTTAGATAATCTAGTGCCACCAAGTTTGACAAGGATTTCACCATGTTACTGGCTAGGACTGCAACCTCTGGTCATAGGCTTACGATCTATTTATAAATGTTTGGCAATATAGCAGACTATGCTACCAAACACAGATTAGACAATGCAAAAGTACACCAGAACTCACATTTTAATATACTAGAGACCATAGTTGTGCAGTACTAAGTGGGGCCCACAATATAACTACATGTAAAACATGGCCCAAATATATTATCACACAGTGTCCAAATTAAATGTAGTGCCCCAGTATGGCACAACACCACAAAGGAGTATGGAATGACTCTCACATTATAACATGGTATCCCCCTATAAAACATTCCCATTAATAATCCATGGTGGTCTAGTGGAAGAAAAATACACATATAAAATAAATAAATAAAGATCACTTACCTGTTTCTGTACTTGTTTATTCACCATAGTGACAGTGCGCACTGGGGTCACTATGGCCATACAGTGGCCATGCAGATGTATGGGGTTCTCTTGTCCCTTTTGCCCTTCTGAACCCGGGACCCAGAAATAAAAGCATATAAGTTCTGGGTTGGGGTTTCTAGGTGAGACAGAGCAATGAGTGAGTGAAATTGCACTGCATTACCAGCAGAAGTGGAGCAACTTTCAAAAAGAGAAAGAGAGAGATGCTAACCATAAAAGTTGATATACATTTATTGAAATCAAAAGCATGCAGTTACAAACTCTAACTGGTGTGGTAGATACTCTAACACATTTTACTCCACCAAAGGAGCTGAATTATACAGTGAGAACTGCATCCGGGAGAGAGGAGAGAAACTTAGGCTGGCCATACATTATACAATTATCTGCAGATTTTTGGTTTAGATTTACCAAAAACCATATAATAGGAGGACAAACCTAAACAACACTTTCAGTTGTATCCAATTAGGCGGGCCCTTGTACTACATAGTTGAAGGTAAATCTAAAGGAAATTGGGCAGAAAATCTGCAGATAATTGTATAATGTATGGCCAGCCTTAAAGCCTGTAGTGGAGTGCAATTTCTTTAAGTACAGAAGAGAAGCAGTGCTCACATTCTGGCCTACTCTGGCAAAAAAAATAAGTCCTAATTATATATATATATATATATATATATATATATATATATATATATATATAGAGAGAGAGAGAGAGAGAGAGAGAGAGAGAGAGAGAGAGAGAGAATAAACACCTTTTTTGAGTGATCTACAATTTTTTATTACTTTGTAAAGGTTACAAACTCATTACATTAACACACGCTGCCGGTGAACTTCTTAGAGCCCTGACATGGCTTGCTTGCATGTCCCTTGCTCCCTGTTCAGTGGGTACTGACAACGCTTCTACTCCATAAACTCACAACCCACACTAAGATAGCGTTGCCACCCTAGAACAAGAAGTGTCAGAGTGGGTTGACACTGGCAGTATCACAGGGTGGGATGATACTAGCAGGATCACCAGGTCCAAAATAAAAAAGAAGAATACAATCAAAAAGAGATACCTTTGCAACTTTTTGTTGCATTTTGATGAAGGAGCTCTGTGCATGTTCTGAAAAGTGTAAGCGCCCCTTTGACATCACTTTCGGTGTGTGAGTTCCACGTTGGTTCCAGAAGTGTGGCGGCCATCTTGGTGGTGCATTCTACCCTTCCCATAACTGCTGGCTGACCTATGAGATCTGAAAAGAGACGTGATAGGAGACCAGGCATCACGTCTGTATGGGATTGATGAGCTTGACTTACATATCTATTCTGTGAGTGTTTTTAACTGTTGTTTTCTAACTAAACAATGTTTTTATTGCGCTTAGAGGTGCCTTCTTTTTCCTTTATACCCTTTTCAGAGTTCTGCTTCAACCCTTTGAAGTGCTGCCCAAGCGCTCTCTAGGCTCCTTCCAGTTGTTTTTTTCCCCCTTGGTCTGGTGGTCCAGAGATTGTGGATACCACAAGAGGTCTCTCTCACACAGAGCGCCCTATACTTCTTTTATTTTCCATTTGAAGTAGAAAACCTGCCATGGATCTCCCTCTTTACTGCATTAATCTTGCATTTGTTTTTTTTAATAAGCTTTAACAGGAAATTTCCCATCCACCCATTGCCTACAGGCGGCGGACGGGAAGCTTTGCCGATATAGGCTAACATACCTGTATATCAGGCCGCATTGGCAGCTCCTGCGTGGCTCACAGAGCACATACTCGGGCGCCGGCAATCAGTATGTTGCCCGGACACAGCAGATCACATTACTGCTGTGTCCAGGTGATCACATGGTGTTTTACGGTGTAATTGCTGTGACCAATCACAGCAATCACATAGTAAACACTGCAAGTGAAAGTAAAGATCAGTTCTCTCTGCTCTCACTGTGATAGCAGAGAAAACCAATGCAGAGCCTATGTACACTCACAGACTGCTGTGCCAGCCACCCGAGTGTCCCTGGTTACTGCCCCGGTGTTCCTTACCACTGACCATTGCAGTCAATAATAAACAAGGAGTCAACCCCTGTCATCTGTCCCAGGGCTCACAATAACATGACCATACACCATACCAATGTCCTGATCACTGCAATACCAATGTCCTGATCACTGCCATACCAGCGCCCTGATCAACACGATATGCCTTACTAGCAACTTGATTACTGCCAAATGCCATACCAGCATCCTTATCACCGCCATACCCCATAGCAGTGTCCTGATCACCACCATAATCCATACCAGTGTTCTAA